GCCAGCCAACACAATTTTGCACGATGTGTCAACGTATTGCCGGAGAGTAGAGAAAAACTGCTTTCTCTTCGCTATCTCGTTTGGGGCATAGACCGAAACAAGCTTGTGTAGCTCTCCCTGATACAGAACTTCTACCGCACACACCCGACCGTTAAGGTCATTTTCCCATTCAGGGCAAATCGTGATGCCTCTGGATATTTTATCAATATGGCCGCCCCGCCACTCTGTGCGTTCGCCTTGGAGGTAAAGCAGTCATAGTGCTTTCTCACAAAATGAGCCATGTCTTTCACCTGCTTATCAGTACTAAGTTTGGTTTCTTGCAGAAAAGCAACGTCTATTTTCTTTTGCAAAAGTAAGTTAAGGACCCACTGTCTCCGCTGTTGTGCGATCAGGCTTACACTGTTAAGGGTGGCAAGCTTTAGACGCCCCAGCGCGTGTGTTTTGGGAAGTTAAGCACCCTCTGCCGGCAATCGCGGACAATGGCTGCAAGTTGCGCGTCTGCCAGAAAAGGACCGGTACCGAAGAGCGAAAGCCGAGGGGACCTACCTACGGGGGTGCAGCCCGTCGGCGCTCTTCCGTAGGTATTCGCGGCTTGGGGTTGAATCGCTCTCTCCGTGCTATCGCCGTGCGCCACTTCAGCTCTGCTCGCACTGCGGCGGAAGCCTCTGCAGAGCGGACCTCCGGTGGTTGCTTGAAAACGGCATCCTCAGATTCACTCATCTCCGACTCGCCGTCGGTTAGAGTGCCTGCGTCGCCCGGGTCCGTGTCTCCTTGAGGCTCGCTGTTGGGTGGTCTGGTCTGCTGGATGCTGCACGGTACCATGAGCGGGGGCGCCTCCATCGTGCGGCTTGGGTCACCCTTCTCCGGTGCATTTTTCTCTGTTACTTCTTCGGACGGCGTCGAAACCACCGCAGCGGACCCTCCCGGCGTGGTGCTCGCCGCGGTTGCCTCAGCCTCTTCTTCGTCCATGGCGTGCTCGTCGAAGTCCCCTGCTACGGCAACTTCTGTCACCGCTGCGTAAGTGCGGGCGCAGTTCTCTTTCTCGTGTCCGACGCGGTTGCACTCATCGCAGCGAAGAACGCGACAGTCTCTGCGGATGTGACCCGTCCTCTTGCAACGAAGACTTAGGGGGGCCCTACCGGGAACCAACACGAGCGCATTACCTCCCTGCACACGCAGCTGGTGCGGAAGAGTATCCTTGGTAATGCCATTCTTGAGTGTCATCTTCACGAACCGCGTTGTGGATTGGACACCCGCAAAGCCTTCCGTTCTCCACGTGTCGCGGGTAACCTCGCTCACCTTGCCGTACGGCTCGAGCGCTCGTCGAACCAAGTCGTCGCTCACGTGAAACGGTAGCCAGTGAAGCTTTAGGCGTACCTCACCGTCGTTGGGATCTACGACGAGGCACTTCTTGCCCTTCACTTGCAGCTCCCGGGCTTCGAGCAGCTTCCGCGGGACGTCCGGCGACTGGAACGTGAAGAGCCAGACATGATTCATTTGGTACGCCCCTCCCGCTTTTAGGGCAGGAAGGGCGCCCAAGCGTTGCAGTTCGCCCTTGAAATCTTCAATTTTGTACGGCCGTCCTGTAATGTCGGCGTGAAGAATCACCGAGTTCAAAAACATATCTCCTGATGGCAGGGGGGGGGGGGGGGGGCAGTACTACTCGATAAGGATCCGGGGATGATTTAGCCGAGATACCACGGCCGGCGACGGCCGCTATCGCCGCTCCTTGGGAGCTCATGACCCTGCGTCCGCTCGATACGAGTGCCGGAAACAGAATGGTTAGGCTAAGGCCGCGCTGCATACTTGGCGCGCGGCATTACTCCCCCCTTAAAAAGTGCATCGCCCCGATGCAACACAAAACAAAACAGAGCACAAAAAAAGAACGGTAAACTAAAGAGTCATTTGAAACACATAAGATCCACAGTCCTATCGAGCGTAGTACGGCTTCAGGCGCACGACGTGGACGACTTCAGGTCGTGGTGGGCGGCGTGATGATGTTCTTGTTCCGTCGGGCATCACCTCGTAGTTCAGCTCGCCGAGGCAACGAAGCACCTTGTATGGTCCAAAGTACCGTTTGAGCAGTTTCTCACTGAGGCCGCGGCGACGGATGGGCGTCCACACCCACACCCTGTCTCCGGGCTGGAAGTGAACGTCCCTGCGACGAAGGTTGTAGCGGCCCGCGTCGACGCGTTGCTGGTCTTGAATCATGAGTCGGGCGAGCTGGCGGACTTCTTCGGCGCGTTGAGCAACCGCCTGGGCGTCGTCGCTCTCATTGTCAGATGCCTCATGGGGCAGCATTGCGTCCAGCGTGGTCGTTACCTTCCGACCATGTACCAGCTGGAAAGGGATGAATCCAGTGGTCTCCTGAACCGCCGTATTGTAGGCGAACGTGACGTAGGGCAACACCTCGTCCCACGTCTTGTGCTCTACGTCGACGTACATAAAGATCATATCGGCGATTGTCTTGTTGAGGCGCTCGGTCAGCCCGTTGGTCTGCGGGCGGTATGCAGTGGTTCGACGATGGCCGGTGCCACTGAGACGAAGGATCTCTTGCGTCAGCTGGGCCATGAACGAAGATCCACGGTCTGTGATGAGGACTTCAGGGGCGCCGTGCCGGAGGACAATGGACTCGATGAAGAACTTGGCGACTTCAACAGCTGTGCCTGCTGGAAGGGCTTTCTTCTCGGCGTACCGTGTGAGATAACCGGTGGCGACGATAATCCAGCGGTTTCCCGACGTTGACGGCGGGAAAGGGCCAAGTAAATCCATTCCGATCTGCTGGAACGGCATAGACGGGGGAGAAATCGGATGCAGAAGTCCTGACGGCTTCGTCGGCGGTTTCTTGCGTCGCTGACACACGTGGCATGATCTAATGTATAGGTGAACGGTCTTCGGTAGCCTCGGCCAGTAGTACTTTTCTCGAATCCTGGCGAGCGTCCTGCTGTAGCCAAGGTGTCCAGCCGTTGGGTCGTCATGGCATCCTTGGAATATTTCGTCTCGAAGGCTGGCAGGAACAACCAACAGCCATGCTGTGTTGTTGTTGACGAAGTTCTCCTTGTACAGCACCCCTTTCCGCATGGAGAATGTATGCACGGGGAACCGAACTCACTTGTCCCTCTAAGTGTTCGATGAGCGCTCGCAGTTCAGGGTCGTCTCGTTGGAGTGCTGTCATGTCGCTGACGTCCAAAGCGCCGAGGAAACAGTCATCGTTGTCGTCTTCGATACAGGCCGGACCGGCCTCGACAGGAGCTCTTGACAGGCAGTCGGCGTCATTGTGGTTCCGGCCGGACTTGTACACAACGGTCATGTCGAACTCCTGCAGTCGTAGGCTCCACCGGGCGAGGCGTCCGGAGGGGTCTTTCAGATTCGCGAGCCAGCAGAGCGAGTGGTGGTCCGTGACCACGCGAAAAGCACTTCCATACAGATATGGGCGAAACTTTGTTATTGCCCAGACGACAGCAAGGCACTAATTTTCAGTTGTAGAGTATAGTTCCCCGCACCTCCACCAAAATGTCACGGGTGGTGACCAGAGAAACAGGAAATAAAATAAACAGGAAGAAATAAACGTTTAATGGTGGCGAACTTGTGCGAAAAATAAAAGGGTGCTAAGATAATAACAGCGTCGCGGGAGTCGAAGTCGGCGTAGCAGCACCGTCGAACGCTGGGGCGAAACTGACTCCGGCTTGCCCGCGGAGCCGCTTTTGTACACACGTTGGCTTCTGGAGCATTCGACGTAGAAGGTTCGACGTGCAGAACATTCTAACCTCGAATCAGCTAGACGGTTCTGGAACTCACCAGAACATCATATTACAGTGTAAACAAAAATGCGCAGCCGCGGCCAGGAATCGAACCCTGGCCCTTCGCGTGGGAGGCAAGCGCGATAACCGATAGGCTGCGGCCGCGCTGCACACTTGGCGCGGGGCAATATAAACCATGGTGATTGTGTTTTGTCTTCAATGCCTTAGTAGTTAAAATTTAAAAAAAAGCAAATAAAAACAAAAGTATTTTGAAAGTAACGAAGTATAAGACGAAATATAACTGTACATGTAACACCTTACTTTTATTTCTAAGCAACTAAATGTAACTAAAATGCATTTTTGAGAAACTATCTGTAACTGCAACTAATTAATTTTTAAATGTAAGTTACCTAAGACTGATGTTGAGAAGGCCATTTTACGTACGGTGGAATTTTTTACGCGGAGTATTAAATTTGAGAGTGAATTCAAAATACGCTCGTCGGAATGTCGTACAAAATTCGGTGTCTGTAGACGGCTGAAGCTGGCTATCTATCCCGACTACCTGTCAAACTAAATTTTATATAAAAATGTGCGGAAGTTTTTCTTATTTTGTACACTTCAAATGCCTAATTGTTTTGGGCTTGTTCAAGACGCCTTATTAATATATAAAAATGGTAAGATTTCCAGTAAGCACACGGGGAAAGTGAGGCATGCTCAGTTCGGTTTGCATTGTAATACCCCACACAGAAAGGAAATGATAAAATGTAAGCGAACAAAATGATGCTCCCGGGGCGACCTCATGTGGGTTGCACACGTAGGCCCACTCTAAATCCCACCAGGGGGCCCATGTTGAATTTTTTTCCAGGCCCTCTGTGGACTTCTTGAAGATAGCCATTGTGGGCTGCTCAAGTAGGCCTACTGTGGGTCCCACGAGGGAAGCCCGGTGGGCAGCCCAAGTTTGGACGCCTTGGGCCCGAGTTGCAAAACCGACTTGGGACACAAGTGGGCTGCCCACGTGGGACCTCCGTGGGTCCCCCTTTGGGAGTCCACCTTGTGCCAGCCACTTGGGGCAGGCAATTTGAAATGAAATGTTCAAGCACAAACTTTAGTATTATGACGATGTCAGACGGAGGGAGATACAATTTATTATTTTAATTACTGTGGCATCAAGCATTTATTGTGGGTGGCTAAATTGAGAAAAAAAACGTTGTGTTTAAAATAAAATTAGAATACCAAAAGAATTATTCACATGAAGGAGTTTTAACTGTTTTTCCACTGATATATCTATAAATACCTTGAGAACAATTGTAGATCAAATTGTGTATGAACAAGTAACATCAGTTTACGAAAGCTTGGGTTTGAGCTGGTTGGTATTTTCATTATCTTTTGTTCCGTGCCTTTCGTATGTGAGTGTCGTTCTTCTTCGTCCTAGATTGTAAACTTTAGCAGTGCAAAACAAAAAATAATCAGTTTACTGATTAATTCAATCGTTTCGAATGAAAAGGATAAGAATAGGGTTTATTCCGGAATATAGATAAAAATATAAAGCCGCATGAAAATACGTTATCAAAAAAGCTTATTAGTGTTTCGTTAATATAATGGAATGCAGTTTTTTCCATGTTTGCAAAACGCCCTTGTTACAGGTTTGGGTCGGTTTTAATCCCCGAAGCCGCTATGCTGGCGTCAAACTCCATTCTGACATTGTTTAAGAGATCCGGAGAGCTGAGGACTTCTAGAGCGGTGAGTGCGAGCGCTTTTGCCACCTTTAAAGTTGCATCGAAAGATTTTGGTGTGACTGCTGCGTTCGCGAATTCGGGGGTGTGGTTCGATGTTGTCGCGTCTTCCAGCTTGTATCCGGGATGGAGCACAGGGATCACGTTAGACACATTTCCGGCGTCTGTCGATGCCGCGATCTTGGTTTCATTGCCTGGTTCGGAGAAATCGATGCCTGGAACGAATAAATTGGTTTCATACATATTAATTATGAACGGAAAATATGTTCCAGGGCTGACATCCGCAAAGAAATTGTGACGGAACGCTGGCAAAGACCCCAACGAAGTGTTCCACACGGATTACGGGAAAAATGAAGATAGTGAAACACAGAGAAGAAAAAATGTAATTCTACACGTCCGCCCAAAGAGAATCAAACCCACGACGGTCCAAGATTCTGATTTTGATGCTCTACCACTGTGCCAAGATTTATGGTCCACTGCTTATGTGCATGGTGCATGCTGAACATGAAGGAATGTTACAGAGAGAAACAGAAAAGGCAAACACACCACTGGACTAGCAACTGTTAAATTTTTTCTGTCTCTCTTTTCTGTTTCTCTTTTTCTGTTTTTCTGTCCCTTTCTCTATGTAACCTGGCTTCATGTTCAGATAGCACCATACAATGAACCAACTCAGCTAGTCTAGCTTCAAGCCGTCAGAACATATGATCCAATAGTTTCCTTGCTACTGAATGTGTTTTTGTATATAAATATAACAATGGCACGGTGATTTCCCATCATAAAATATTTAAAAAAAAGCAGTAGGAGAGTCGGTAAGCGAGCGAAACCAAAATATTCCGCATGTACCGACTCTATTCGTATATCAGGGTAAACCAAGCGTACCAGATCATATAAATTCATAAGCACGCATATAAATTTGTTCGCCTATTCTACTGCAATTCTTACTCTCCTTCGGTTTGATATTTAATCGAAAATATCTAGGCACTGTTTATAACTGACTTCCAAAGTAATTTACAACTTAAAAATGTTGACGTAGAAAGTTACAACAAGCATTTCTATCAAGAAAAAAAAAATTAAGCAACACATGTTTTAGGAGGTAAAGTACTTCTGGAAGGCTCAGAGAACCCGCCGACGTTTGGCAAGGTAAGCTATACTGACTGGCAGGTGAAAAAAAGCCTGCTATGTTTTCATTGCTTCGGGATTAGTTCGGTTTTCTTATCAGCCAATGCTGGAATCTCATTGGCTGGAAAGCGATACTAAAAAAGCCACTGACAACAACAACATCGACACTTTTTTCCCGCCGAGATTCGATCGCGTGAGGAGCGAAATCAAAGTGCCGTGCAGGAAGGCCACTGACACGGCCACTTCGCCGACGTTGCACGCGCACCGGCGTATGTTCCCCTGCTTTTAACCCCCCCCCCCCCCCTCCCCCCTCGTCGTTTCCTGTTTTCCAGGAAAGGAGGAGAAGGAGCGTGGCGCCGCTAGTCGCGGAATTCAGTCACGTGACGAGCAGAATCCCGTACCCTGCGGGAAAGCCGGCGCTACGGGGATGAACCCGCAACTTTGGCTCCCGTAGGGAGCCTATGCAGGAACCGCAGGGAGCCTATGCAGTTTTCCCGCTAATCTTAATCCCTATGGTGGACAATTTAATCCAAGTGCCATTCAGTTTAATTCAAGCGCAACTCAATTTAATCACAGCGCTCCCGATTGAATCCCGGGGCCGGTCAATTTAATCCGCAATATATACATGCACGTTTTTTTATCTTCAGTGGTCCTGTTTCGCTTGCGTTTTTGATAAATTCGAGTAATTATTTATACAATTAGAGTTTGTTGTGGACTGCTAATGATTTGACCACTATTCCGATCACTTGGAGTTACAAGTCACGCGATCGACATGTGTATTACTTTTTTTGGTAACCTCGAGTTATCAGTGGTGCACTCAACTTTACTTTAGCTGATGTGACGTTTTGTTTACTCTTCATAATTACTTCAACTTATTATTGATACAGTTCAGATGATATAAGTACAATTTGAAATTTGTAATTACTCTTTCTATTACTTCGTGTTATTATAAGCACCGCTGACTTAAAACCGCTTCCCTTTCTAATTACTTCGACTTATTAATAACACGATTTACATATTTAAAGTTTAACACACATTTCTATTACTTTCTCGATTATTTCGGGGAATTATTGACAAAAAAGTAACCTCGTAGAACCTCATTTGACAGTCTGGTGACTTTTTTGTTAGATAGCTATTATTGACACCAGTGTTGCGTGGTCGCCACTTCGGAGTTGGAATGATTCCGGATATCACTCTGTACTTTCGCGACCCCGGAATGGAGTGGGAATGGAATGGGAATGGAATGGGAATGGAATGGGAATGGAATGGGAATGGAATGGGAATGGAGTGGGAATAGAATTCGACGCCTTTTGCCGGAATGGAGTAGGAATGGAATGGAGAATGGGCTCGGTTTTTATGACAGCTGTGTCGGTTTTCATCTAGACCACGGGCTCATCGCGTCATTCATTAGCGCATGGTAGGTGCGCTCTCGAAACTGCATTATTGCACTGGAGATGACTGACGGCTTAATTGTCTCACTAGCTTATGCTCCTTCAAGGATGAAATTGGCGCGTCCTCAGTGAAGCAACCAAAATTGAATAGTTGTAGACGAACAAGGTGTCGTTCCTGGCGCCGCAAGACGCTACAACGCGGCTGTTGTAATCTGGTTCGATTAGCATGTAGTTGTTAACCAGGGTGTCGAACCAAACCGAAAACCAGAGCAAAGCCGTTATTTTTAACGGAACCAGAACAAGACTGTAACCGTCATCAGACATTTAATATTGAACCGTAACGGAACCGTAATCTCATCTGGCGGTTACCGATTCATGGGAACCGTTTCGACGTAATGAAATGTTAGCCATGCCTTCTTGCGGGTGGCGGCGCCAGGTCAAGTAAATATTCTCGACGGTGGCGTCAGAAGCTCAGTTTTGACTAAACAAAGGAGAGCGACGACATGGAGACAGCTCATTTATAATGCAACAAGAAAGTATTAGCATTTCAAGTAGGTACAGCACGAATGGGCGTCGGCTAGTTGATGTGGAGGCGTACACTTGTATATTAAAAGAAAATATGCTGAGAATCTAAAAAAAGCTATTCTTAATGCGCGCGCGTTTGTTTGTGTGTGTTTTTTTGCTGCTTAGAAATATACCTCATGGAAGGAGAAAGCAAACATAAACGTGAAAATTGAAACACAAAAGGCTCGAGGTACACTTAAGCCCTTCTTATGAGTTGTGAATCCGAAAGCGTGAACGTCGTTCTTCGCGCCGCGGCTGCTTCTGATCCTCTCGGTGCCCTCGGCGCATCGGCCGTTTCTGCTCCTTCGCGGGCACTTAGCGCCATGGGGTGGCGCTAAGTGAAACTTATGCGCCTCGGCTTCATATTAATGCCGTTTTGCGCGGTTTTTTGCGTCGTTTCAAAACTCGGATACTTCAGATCGCGGCTTCGGGAATTTATCTGCCGTTTTGCGCGGCTGATGACGTCGGTCGGGTCGCTCCATGGGACAGTTAATGCTTTCACATTAAAAGTTGACGGTCGTTGGTTGGCGCGTTTGTTCCGCTGTGGAAAAATCTGTAGGCACCAATGGCCACAGCCGCGACTAGCGCAGCACTGGGGCGCCAGTCGCCCAAAGCCCTTTACGCTGCTAGAAGTGATTTTGTGTGTGTGTGTGAGGTGCGTTTTCCAGAAACAGCAAGTCGCCCATTGCATGTTTTGTCCTTTTTGCTTTGTTTTAATCGTCTTTCGATGGGCCCTTCCCTGTCTTTCTACTCTTCAACTCAGTCGTTCAAGCAACTCGTTCAAGCGCGTCGTGTGGGTACACTCTAAAAAAAAAGTATCACCTCACATCCTTTTGTCCCAGATAATACACCCCAAAACTTTAGTTCGTCGAACAACGCACTGTGGTCGAACAAACGGTCCCAAATTCTACGAGGGATTTGATAGCGGTGCGATATAGCTTATTAGATAGCTAAAGTACGTATCAAAGACCACAAAAAGGAAACACTGAGGTTTTGCACTAGGGACAAGAAAACCCCCGATTTTTTATTTTGTAGTCATTAACACGTACATTAGCTATTTTAATAAGTTGTACCACATGGCTGTCAAGCCCCTCATGAAAGTTAGTACCGTCAGATTGACGTCAGTGCGCTGTACGTTCAACTGAAGTTTTGGGGTGTCTTATAGGAAACAAAGGGTGTAAGAATACGCCCTTTTTTTTTAGAGTGTAGTTTTCCGTTTCGATCTGGATGAGCATCGCACCGGCGTGCGGTCGTGTATCACTACTGCGTGATATCCGTTAAAAACACCACGCTAGCACTCATACTACACTGGATAAAATTTATCACCTACAGTGGGTAGCAATGTCGCCATACTCTTGCAGCTAGACTACTCCTACTGTCTAAACAACGACTAATTTGTTTTGTTTTTTGTAGGTGGTTTGCGAGTATGGTGCGTGCTACAGGTATGGTGTCACTGAGCGTGTTGGCTGATTGACTCCACACGTGATTACTATACTTTTCTATACTTTGAAGCTGTTTGCAAGCGCATGTATAACCAAGTAATTTTCATTGAACGGTGTTTTCTCTAAAAATTTAAAATCACAAGACAAAATTAGGCATGCATTTGTCTTACTGTCCTCGTTTCCGCAGCACAGCTTGTCTTAATGTTCTAGAGCGCAGCTCTTAGGGGCTCGTTTCCAGCCTGAGCGGCGTCGGCGTCGGCGTCGGCGTAACCGGGGGGGGGGGGGGGGGTCACGTGACCCCCCTTCTCCCGAGGTCACGTGACCCCCCCCCCCCCGAGATCACGTGCCCCCCCTCCGAGGTCACGTGACTCCCCCTCCAGGTCACGTGACACCCCCCCCCCCCCCCCGAGATCACGTGACCCCCCTGAGGTCACGTGACCCCCCTCCCCCGGGATCACGTGACCCCCCCGGGGTCACGTGACTACCCGCAGGTGACGTGACCCCCCTCAGTACCCTTCACTCCTCCTCCTCAAGAGCTGCGCTCCAATTCGGCGTTACAGGGATTTGTAAACGGCTTTCACTTTTTTTAATGCGGACGACGTTGTGTTGAAGTAACCGTTTCTCAACAAAAAATGACAGCATAAAATTTGTAAAAAAAAAAAAAACTATTTAAACTGGTATGCGTTTGGTAGAACCGGT